CTTCTGAGCACTACAGTTTGTGCGTCAGGAGCGCTGCGTATCACTGGGAACCTCATCATCTTGTCGTTCTCAAACCTACCTTGTGCTACAATTAGCAAGGTAGTGCTCATCTATACTTGTCACTAAGCCCCTATCTTCTATAAATTCAACTATCCCTCCTCCTCAAAACCCACACTCATATATCTCTGGGTTTTACTTTGAAGGATTTTCATAGATACCACCCCACGAACAACCAGAGCACTCACTGTTCTAGGAGGCAAAGCCCATAAACAAGTTCCGTGGAATCTGGGAGGATTGTTTGTTAGTTTGTTTTTGTGTGTGGTTTTCTAACAGCAGTTCTCATCATCGACATTGGTCCAAATTTCAAACTGGTGCCTAGCACTTTCTAAGTAGTGCTGCCAGTGCTCTAGAGCTCTAATGATGGCTAGCATCTCTTTGTCGTAAATTTGATAGTTGCGCTCTGTAGGCGACAAACTATATGATAAATAGGTGCAAGGCCTCCAAAGATCGTCAGGGCATTTAATTGATAAAACAGCCCCAGTAGCAAAATCAGAAGAGTCGGTTTCTAGCCGGAACTCTTTGTCTAATTCTGGAAATGCTAATATGGGCGCTGTTGTAAACGCCTGTTTAAGCTTATCAAAAGCTTCTTGTTCTTTGGTTTCCCAGTGCCAAACAATATCCTTTTTAGTGAGATTGTACAACGGTCTTGTGATTTTTGCAAAGTTTTAGATAAACCTTCGGTAGAAATTACCTAAGCTGAGGAAGGCCCTAACTCCTTTGACGCAAGTAGGTTCTGGCCAATCCAATATGGCTTGAACTTTCTCAGGGTCCGTCCTGATTCCGTTCTGGCCTATGATCATACCGAGGAAGTCTACTTCCTTCACTTTGAAATTACATTTTTTGGGTTTGACAAATAGGTCCCATTCCTGTAAGCGTTGAAGGACTTCTTGCATGATCCTGTCATGCTCAGCCTCATTGTCCGACTTCGTAAATATTAATAAATTGTCAATGTAAATGATGACACAGTTAGTTTTCCATATCCGCAAAGATCTCATTCATCATGCTCTGAAAGGTCGCCGGTGAATTGGTCAACCCAAAGAACATAACGAGGGGTGCAAAGGATCCTCGGTGGCATGTGAACGCGGCCTTTCAAGCATCTTCCTCTTTGATGCGTACATTATTGTACCCCCATCTGAGATCCATCCTTGTTAAGATCTTGGCTCCTGCCAACTTGTCTACCAGCTGACTGATCAAAGGCAGCGGATACGTGTTCTTAACCGTGTGCTCATTCACGTAATGATAGTCTATAATCATAAGCTTCCTACCATCCTTTTTAGGAATGAAGAACACCGGGGACGTCATAGGGCTTTTAGAAGGTCTGATGTAACTCTTCCTGAGCTGTTCATCTATGAAACTAGAAACCTCATCTCTTTCTGGGGCAGAGAGTGATATATATATATATAATGTGTCCTTTTCCCGGTTTGAAGGTGTCCTTCAAGTCTATAGCATGGTCCCAAGGCTTAGCCTCTGGGAAGTGCTCTGATTTATGTTTAGAAAAGACTTTCCAGAAGTCAGGGTACTTGGGAGGTACCAGCCTCTTAATCTCTTCCTCAGGTTTTACCTCATCATTGTCATTGTCAATCTTATCTAAAGATCTGAGCTTGGCATAAACGTGACCAGTATTTATCCTTTCATCTAGCTCTGTTTGACGGACGTGACTCGGTTTACCCAAGTCATCACACTCCTGAGGGCAACGTGACAATGTGACAACCCCTGTCTGCCAGTCGATCTCAGGATTGTGTTTAAATAGCCAGGTGCAGCCCAAGATTAAATTAATCTTTCCTAGTTTGGTAGCTTCGGCGGTGACTCGTTCTCTGTGTCCTTGGTATTTGACAACAAAAGAACATTTGTGCGTGATACAGCCACCCGCGTTAAGCGTACCGTCAACATTGTAGACGGGAATAGATACATCTAATTTTACAAGGGGGAGTCCAATTTGCTCCGCCCAGACCTGATCTATGATAATTCCATTAGCACCTGAATCAAGCAGTGCGCTGGTTGGGTGTACTATGCCCTGGGCAAGGTTTTCCACACCAACGTCTAAACAGATCTCTTTTTGGAATAAATATGTGCACATCAACACATGCCTTGGGATTTTGGTAGAAGGTGGCTCCAAAGAAGAAGAAGAAACATGTTTTTCTACTTTAAGATTTTCTATATGCAATTGAGTTTGAATGTTTATCCGCTCATCAGTGACTGAATAGCGTCGACGCCAGTCTGCCCGTCGTCGGCGTTCGCTCATAAGGTGGAAATACATTGACATAGATTAGCAACCTTTGAAAATTCATATCGACAAGGTAGTACGTAAAGCGTAGCAAATCATTTGCTCTCGAGTCTCAATGTCGAGAGATCGCTGGGGTGTTGAGCGTCCAGAATCCAAATATATACATCTTCGAATCATCTTAGAGCCAGTGTCAGATGATTTGGCAAAGCAGCCCACTCCAATTGAGTCTCATCTCCCTGTGCTTCCCCATGCATGCGGTTCGAGCATGTGGACATTCTATGTCTGGTGACGGAGTTAGGGTGAGATGAATGTTGAAAACGTACCTCAGGAACAATGCCAGGAACCGACATACGTCCATCGTGATGTCAACACGTTCTCAAACCTACAAAAGTACCATAAACACTCACTTCCTAGACGGATAATGTAAATTATTTAGCAATGAAATTTAGCCAGAGAACAGAGGACTGACCTGGCAGTGTGGATTTAGGCATCTGAAATTAGCCATAGAATGTTTAGAAGGTCGACGCTGTATGAACGTCGATGCGTTGACGACGTGAAGAAGAAGCGGGCTACTTGCTCCGAATTTAAAGTGAGAGAGGAACATATATTCTGATAATGATATTTCAGCATCGCAGTCAACATGAACATCGGGTGGATGGAAGAGAAAAGTGACGTACAATACTTGGTACAGTTCAATCACGTTGTACCTTGTCCTTCAATGATTAGAATAACACCTAACACACACGACAGTGAGTAAAGAGCAAGGCAGGAAAATGGGCGAAAATAACTTACACACTGACAACGCAACGTAAGGAACTATGAACGATTTGAGTATGAACACGGATAAAGGATACACACGTGCCAGAAAATCAGAAAATTCACCAAGGCATAGCTATCAGAAGTTCTGACAACGATAAGAATACATGATACCTACCAGTATATCCGCATATTTCACAAACGTAGCAAAGGATGCCTGATCCGTCTAACTCAAGATGATCAGGAGCCTGTCACGGTTTTGTTGCCATATAGAGGAATGGGTATAACCTCCGTAAGGAAAGTCGACTAGTCCTAAAACCATGGTCCTCACGACAACTGGCAGTCGTGATAGAAGCAGTCGGAGAAGTAAATAATACGATGCCCTGCGTCCTGAGTAGGCCATCTCCCGGAAAATAGCTCCTTTTTTTAGCGTGTCATCTGCCTGACTCGAAGCCTTTAGCGAGGATCCTGATACCTGGGTCACGTCTGGATACTGGGCACTGGAATCAAAACATTCCTGTGCCCAGACATAATCCATCAGAACTTCTGGAAGAGATGATTTATGGCTAGTTCGCATGTGAAGAATGGTAAATGGGTCCACGTTCATAACATGAGGCAATTGCGATTTGCGGAAGCATTCTGCGACATGACTCGAGACAGCAAAGCCAGAGTCATTTCGCAGAATGCTTCCGCGAATTCAATTTATTGTCTGACAAGGGCTAAATTTTTAGTCGGCGATGATGTGGAAGAAAGCAAGAGATTAGCAAGACGGGTAAAAACTTGGAACATCGACGACTCACTGACAAATCTATGCTGTAGAATGTCTGAGCAAGAGGAATTAGATGCTGGGGGACGTTGCAGAACGAAGCTTAAATGCAACTCCGCGAATTTCGGGTAAATATGTTGTCTGCATTTGTTTTTGTCTGTGGCACTACGAGCAATGGCCAAAATCCCACGTTGCGGCAGACGTGAGCCAGAGCGTGGGATGGAAAACTGTGACAACGATGTCACACAGTGTAGCAGAGGTGTGGGCGTTAAAATATACAACGCCAGTCGCCGCTGTCAACATGGCTATGAAAACTTAGTACATCCACGGGCGCGGACCATTAGCGGAAGGATGTGAAAATGTGGCATAGATTACCGCTGTCGTCGAGTGTGACACCAGTGTCATCATATACAAATCAAAGGTATGTTTCATGTGACGCCAGCATGTCAACATCTTGCTGAATATTCCCCTTTCACCCGCTGAAAAATCTTTCATTCTCGCTTTGTGTCCTGCACTGAAACAGCCCGGTTCCCCAAAGGCTGGTGCGAATATGGGTGAATCCGCCACCACAGCTGTCTTTATTTTCCTGCAGCCACTGCTGTAGCAAGGTGCGATTTTCGATATTCTACATGTCTGACGTCACCCTTTCTTTTGTTGTAACAGTGCCTTTATCGATAACCTTCCCGAGCCTTCCACAGCCAACAGGCTTTCATGTTGCGAATGTTCTCATATACAAAGATTGAAAGGGGCTTATTCTGTGACATGTAAAAGGTAACCTTCTCGCAATTATATAATAATAATATTAAAATAAATTCGATAATGAAGGCGAAGGTAGCTGCTGTTGGGTAGCTACCTTACGGTGTGCTTGTCCATGTATGCTAAAAAAGACAAAGGGCTAAGAAAGAGGGTAGCTACCTGGAAGTTACCATACAATTTGCTAGTGGACGCGAAGTACGCAAACACAAAAATATAAGGTAGCTACGTAGAAGCTACTGCATGATCTGCTGATGCATGTCGAGATCCACTCATGTGAAAGGTAAATAATGTCATTCAAATAACCAAAAGATTGAAATAGAGACATTGGTAGCTGCTATCCATGAAAAAAGGCCAAAAAAGATAAAAGAAATAAACGTATACCACCCGCAGGACGATTGTAGCCTAGTAATTACTGTAATTCAAGACTGAAAACCGGCTGAGTATGAGTTTTTAGGATAATTAACAAATATGTACGAACCCTGTCCAATGACCTCGCAACAATGCATTCTTCTGCAATGCCCTCCGGTATATATGCTAAGCAGCTGAAATGTGATATTATATCACTCAGCTTCAATACATGCGGGTGAATCTTGAAGCGATTATAGTACAGTCGAGCGCCTAGATTTTCAAACACCAGGAAAGGGTCCTTAGTTTGGTCTAATGTTGACAGGCCCTCATATTCTTCCACTACGATGAATGTTTCTTCGACCGAGCAGCCTGTAGTTGTAACACGAGAGTGAACAAAAATCTGACATATTTGTCCAGCAGTGACGATTCCGCGCTGTCCTACAGCAGTGTATGGCTTGAACAGTACAAAAGAATTTCCGACTGAACTCTTTGGAATAGAGAAAGATACCCCATCAGATTTAACGCTCTTGATGGAATTAACCCTAGAATCAACAAGCAAGTGTGAGTCTTTTCCATCGCTATCCCATCGTACGAATAGTGGCTGATCTGCTGTAGCCCCAGCATTAAGCCTTCTTATCAGGGCATCGTAAACATCATCAGCCAAGTCCATAGTGCGCACTGTATTGGGTATCGAAGTTGAAGTATTGGCTCCTGTGCTCAGGAGATTGTTAAGCAAAGATCCATGTGTGGGTTCAATGAACGCTCTATGAAAGGATTTCATCATTGCATCGTATATTTCGGTCTGCGGGAATTTGATAGAGGAGGAAAGTGCCCGAAGATTGGCCCCTATACAGAAATACTTCAGGAACGTTTTTTCCATTTCTCCTGAGCTGACATCAGTACAAGAACAAGTTAACCAGAGTTATCATTTTCAAACGTACCTGATTTATTATTTGTATTGAGGTCCCGTATTATCCCATTATAACGCTCGAAGGGAAAAGCCCACCAACCATGGACAGGACCAAACAAAAGCAAGCATTCATCGAGGTGAAGTGAGAGGTGGTGATTTGGCTGCAATGGATGGTCAGAAAAGAGCTGGCGGAGTGTCTTGAGGTAGCGAGTCATATGAAACCTATACAGGGCAATCCGTGATGGTGATGTTGAGCGCCTGACAGACGTTTCGACGGCTATGACAAGGTCGATGAAATTAGACAATAGCAACTTTTCCCTTTCTTTCGATGAAATACCACCCCACAATGGCACGAGAGTTAAGACAAGGCTGACAGTACACACTGTGCGCCATTGGTCCGCTTTCAGTTTTCCATGGCTAGGGCTTCCAAAATTATGGGGAGGGCGAACCATCCACGAAGGAAAGGATGTCTTTTTTATATCCGCTTGAATCTTCTCGAGACATTCTTTTGAAAGGATGCAGAACTTTGATACATCAGGACCTTCTGCACCCTTTAAAACAAAATCGGTTGCTGAATCCTTCATCACCGTAAGTATGCGGATAGCGATGCCTGGATTTTCACGATACTGGAAAAATATAAGTTATCAATAATACTATCATACATCAATAGGATCGCACCCAATTCAATAGAGCATGTGCGTATGCTGCCTTTGTGAACAATTGGCCTTCAACTGAGACCTCGTTGAGCAGTGCAAGGGCTACAACATAGCCTTTACGCAGTTGTTTCAAGGCATTGAATGACTGCTTTTCAATTGCCCGTCGTCCTTTCTCAAGCTCGATGGCTTGTTGTTCTGGGCTGTGAGGTTGCGCCTTTTTGGACATCTTCTCGCTAGCCTTAATATCAATCCCCCATACCTGCCTGCAATGGTGCTGAAATTCGCCTAAAAAAAGATTATGCATAGCATCCAATACTGAGAATTTTGTCACATCCCAGTAAGGTAAACGGAGTAGTTCCGACCAGCGTAGACCCGAGCGATCGAACACCCTTTCCCGCGCTTCCTGTGATCCAGCATTCTTCCAACATTCAGCTTGATGCTGATGTTCTTTCCAGCTGCGTCTGGGCCATGTCGCTTTGTTCAGGTTGGTAATTTCACTCTTTGGTAGGCGGCAGAATGAACAAAATGCCTCAGCATTATAGCTTGCAAAGCCTGCTGTTTTACGCAATGCGGGCAAATCACATATGAGAGGCCCCAGTGCACAACGGACGAGACGTCCAAATGGTTTAGACCATGTACGCCCGAGTAAAATTCCGTGCTCCCAGAGACTCAGCAGATCGTCGACAAGTGGTCGGAGGATGTTATTCATGTGATGAAGCTTGGGCTCGTGGGGGCCAGGAATTAAGCCAACAAGGTATACATTCTCGAGTTTATACCGAAGGTGAGTGGGCAAGTTAAGACAGACCATATATATGGCACCAGTGGAGTGGATTTTGCCGGCTTTCTTATTTCCGTATGGATTGAACCAGTCAACAAATAGACTGAATACCAGATGGCTTGCACCAGGTGTTCTAACGGCAAATGGTTTCCCATCTGGGCCTTTGATTTCGTGTAATGCAGTAGCATCCCAAATGTCCTTCCATTCATCGCCCGATGTAACGTCCCACACTGAATCCATATAACTTTCAAGATCTGCACGAGAAAATAACCGAGCCAGCCAAGAGGCAAAGGGTTGATAGGAGAAAACTTTCAAAGGCCTGGGACCAACAAGACCGTCCGACGCAGGTCCGCTCACATTCAGTTGTGATCTGAGTAGAGGCTCACCACATATATCGTCATGGGGAGTTTCGCGATAGGTACAATATTGAGGGTACAGTGCTGGTAATGATTTGTCGGGGTGGTAGGTTGAGAAGCAAGACAGCAGGCATAATCCACCATATCAGGTGCTATATCCAGCCTATCAAGAGCTGTACGAATGTCCTTCGGCAAATCATCCAGAAGATTCGACTCATCGCAAGAGAGTTGGCTGGGAAAACCTTGTGTGGAACGGAGGAACGTGAAAGAGGCTGAGATAATAACACGTAGAGCAGCCAGAGTGAAGTGAGAGTCGGGCCAGGCAATACCTGCGAAGATGTGGAGCACAACAGCCAGAAAAATGGCCGCTAGTAACAGCGGTTCTTGTGGCATACTAGAGCGGGTAAAGTATCGTTCTAATCGATTTTGAATAGTGGAATAACACGACACTGGGAAACCTCACATACCAGTAGACAAAAGTGGTGGCCCATTTGTTTCTGAGCAAGAACCGAGAAGCTCGCAACGAGCCCTAAAGCTGAGCCACTGCTGCTGCTTAGAATCCTCTAAACGCTGATATTCTGCAGTCAATCGCCGAAGTAAACTTGAACGCTCTCCTTCGATGTTTTTGTCTTCGCTGCTGCCAATTTCGATAAGAGACTGAATTGTCTCAGTTAACCAGCTCTCATGCAGTATGAAGGCTTCATTTGCAGCAACGTTAGGAAGCTTAGGAGCATGTCGAGGAAGGAGCCTAGGTTCTCCAAAATGAAGTTTAACGAGTTTGTGTGAAAATGATCGATGACGACGGTCAAGTTTGGAATTGGTTGAAGAAATAAGTTTCATTGCACGAGCTGTGCTACTCTGGCGCTGAAAACAAGTCTAAGAAAAAAATATGCATCGTGAGGAGGAGAGAAAATACATCACTCTCTAACGAGTCAGCTTGTGAATTAGTACCAATCAATCCAGTCTCCTAATACAATATTCAGGCCAGCAGTCTCAATTATGTATCAAATATAACTCACGATGATTATCGCTGATGGGTTTTCAGTTTCGTGGTCCTGTTGCCGAACTGGTATCGAATGGTTGTTTGGCTTGTCTGATGCGATCGTAGATGCAAGTATCTTGACCTGGGTGTTCTTTTCGTTCTTGGCATGTTGCTTTGATAGCCACTGCTGGTGCTTTATTTGATGTCTAGACCACGTACTGGAGATGAGCATTTGACCCTCCTTGTTATCGCCGTCATGGTCAACACAAGTATATTTCTTGCATTGATAACAAGAACACAGCTTCCTATCTTGAACCATGCAGCAATAGAAGTGAAATCAGTGAGTCGTTGTCGTTGTCGTGGTAGTAGTAGTAGTCCGAGACAGACCATGGCCATCATGATCACGATCACGATTATCATGATCCTTGTGACAGGTCACGCTGTCACATATGACGGACTTGACTACCAAGGGGACATCATGATCATGGCATTGACGAGACCCAGAGTTGCGATAACCTACAACCAGTACTAAAAAATATAATCTGTCAGTGTTGGTCTATCATGATATATAACTTCAAGTCTCGAAGCTATCAACTTACCTTCCAACGTACCCTCAACTTGTTACACGAGGCCGGACTTATTACAGCCGATCGCGATCAAGGATGGGACAAAGGACTTTGAAGCTGGGGTGGTATATATAAGTACTGAAAGCTGGCATGCATGATGGTAATTGTTCACTTACATCTTCTAGAATTGGACCAAGATGGTGGTTATAACGCGGATACTGTTTACTACTGGCTGTTGGACCCCTCGCATCTCATCATAGGACCTCATCAAGTGTCCAGGAAAGTCATAAGGAATGGTAAAACCCATCCACATGCGGGCAAGCGTCTCGGCCCTCATTCCAACTGAAAAAAATGACGGACTGACACGTGCAGCAGTGTGATAAAGAAACGACCAAAACAAGGCCTCAGTACAGAATTGAATGAGGAACGACCTGCCCTGGCGCGTGAATTGAACAATAGCGTCCTGATGGGGAATCTCGAGATCTACTCAAAATCGGAGTAGAAGGAGGTAATGTAAGTGGCTTACTATAGAACTCAAAACCGGCTGCAGTGAAACAGGATCATCCGGATTATTGAGCTGTTGGATAATAACAATACGGCTCGATTTAATAAGAAGCCACGCTATTAAATCGAAAACTTAATATACGACGAGAAGGAAGAATAAAAGTTAATCATAACGTACGAGCATCAGGCTTATCACTAGCAATCAACATGACTGAAGCTTGATCCACGTCTCCAAAGGTAACAGGGGTATTACCCCAGGGTTTAGAAAGGCCAGCAGAGCGAGTTGCAAACATGACAGGAGCGCTGGCTAGAGAAGACATGATGTGGAAAATGGTGGAAAATGAGACAGACAGGATTTGGAACGTACGGGATTTCGTTGGTTATTATAAGGTAGTGTGGCTCGGGATAAAGAGAAAGGTCCTTTGAGGTGCCTTTGTTGCCGTCGGCAGGCGTCAGCCAGTAGATCGTACGGTAGCTACCCCAGTCCTTAGAGCTTTATTGACGGTAGCTAACAGCAGCTACCTTCGCCTTCATTATCGAATTTATTTTAATATTATTATTATATAATTGCGAGAAGGTTACCTTTTACATGTCACAGAATAAGCCCCTTTCAATCTTTGTATATGAGAACATTCGCAACATGAAAGCCTGTTGGCTGTGGAAGGCTCGGGAAGGTTATCGATAAAGGCACTGTTACAACAAAAGAAAGGGTGACGTCAGACATGTAGAATATCGAAAATCGCACCTTGCTACAGCAGTGGCTGCAGGAAAATAAAGACAGCTGTGGTGGCGGATTCACCCATATTCGCACCAGCCTTTGGGGAACCGGGCTGTTTCAGTGCAGGACACAAAGCGAGAATGAAAGATTTTTCAGCGGGTGAAAGGGGAATATTCAGCAAGATGTTGACATGCTGGCGTCACATGAAACATACCTTTGATTTGTATATGATGACACTGGTGTCACACTCGACGACAGCGGTAATCTATGCCACATTTTCACATCCTTCCGCTAATGGTCCGCGCCCGTGGATGTACTAAGTTTTCATAGCCATGTTGACAGCGGCGACTGGCGTTGTATATTTTAACGCCCACACCTGAATTAGATGCTGGGGGACGTTGCAGAACGAAGCTTAAATGCAACTCCGCGAATTTCGGGTAAATATGTTGTCTGCATTTGTGCTCGTAGTGTGGGCCATGTCGTATAGTCTCCGACCAGTGGCTCAGACTAACACCCACCACACACGAGGCCTGTCGTTCAAAAAACCATAAAATCCCAAACCAACAGTCGTATTCCAGTAAGTGCATCTTCCCCAATGGCCAATGAACGTATCCTCACCTTTCATCATGTGGAAGGTTCCACAACCGGCAACTTGTCTTTCAACCCTCAGGAGAAACTAGTCAACGTTCGTAACCAGGTGTATAGTGCTGCTCAGGCCCACTTGACAGAACAGTGGGGAAAGGACAAATCTGGTTCCAGACACCTTCACGGAAATCCCCAATCGGTCATCATCGTTACTGGTAAGTTGCCATCTATGGCAAATTGACTGGAACTCAGCCCACAATTATAATTCAGATTACATTGTGTTCAACGGGGACAAATCAAAGGACGACAAAAAGATTTCAGAGCTTTTCCAGCACGGTGGCAACATGATCGCATTGGTACCTGCTCCATGTAGTCATGGTGATGCTTTCCCAGCTGACAAGGTTGCGCAAACACCATTTGTACTGAAAAGTCCGTTACATAAAAAGATGGACAATCTAAAGAACCAGCGACCTCCGAACCCACAGGCGACTGACAACTCTCAGATGCGAAGAAATTTGGAAATGTTTGAAGCACAAAAGAAAGAATTTGAGGAATATAAGCAGGCTTCAGTTTCCGAGAAAAAAGAGGTGAGCATGGTTTTTGAAGTTGAGAGTGTCGATTCAACACTGAAATCATAAAGCACAAGGCAACAGTGAAAGAACTAAGTAACACATTGCAGTGGAAGGACAATATACTCAAGGCTCAGCAAGAGCAGCGGGATGAAGAGGCGAAGCAGTTTGATGTCAAATTGGAGCGGGCGCTCAAGGCCGAGCGGGGGTGGATGGAGCGGGCGCTTGAGGCCGAGCGAGAGCGGTTTGACAATGCACTGAAGAAAGAGCAACAGGAGCGAGTTTTTGAAAGGCAGCAAGTGCAGGAGATGTTGCATGGCAAGGTGGATAACGAGATATTAGCCGCATTGAGCAACAAATTTGAGTGGCATGATGATGCCATCCAGGACCTCGAACAATGGGCACTCGGAAAAGTATGTTCTATACACTGCTGAAATTGAACAAATCTGATACGCAGTACAGGATGCAGAATATCTTGACCGTATCAGAGCACGCCATTTGCTCACCGTAGCGCAAGAAAAGCTGGCATTACAAGCAGGTCTGGCCACAGATGTAAGAGGAGCTTCACTTAGTTGGAGAGATGCGCTTGGGCCGCAGAATGAACTCTACACGAGACTCGATAAAGCTAGGTCCCTCCTTTTGGCGCCAACAGTCCAGTTAGACGAAAGAACGAAGGCGTTTACCCTTTCTGCTGCTGGCATGAAACTCGTTACAGAAGTTCCTTCTGTCATTCGAGCACGTGGCGATTATGCTGCTCACCCGAGGAAGATAATTCGTGGAGTATTTCAACAAACAGTCGATCGGCACCAAGAGAAGGAAGGTTTGCAGGTCGTTCTTGATTTTGTTTGTGACGATTAGCTTTTTCATGCTACCCCCATCTGTTTTCGTATATGCACATTTCTCATGTATAATTAACCGTACTGCAGGTTGAAGGCTATCGTCTTGATATTGTAACCATCCATAGCTCAAACTTATCGAACAGTTATGAAATGTGATAGTTTGCATACAGTAAACTTCCTTATACATAGCTCAGAAAGACAGCGAGACATCACCGACATCATCGATGCGTCTTTCAAACGCATTCACCCTCAACACGCAAATCCACGTAGTATAGTCCGCTCGAGGTCACCCTCAAGGTACTCACTTTCCACAGCGGAACCGCGATTCAATAGGCTGCCTCAACTTACACTCAACGACGAGAGAGAACATGGCACTATTAATGGTCCTCAAACCTCGCCTAGCGCTTTCCTTAAGGTTCGCTTAGGGCGCTCCTTAAGTGAGCGTTAAGGAAAAAAGACGCTCCGGCATTGATACTGTAGGATTTAAGGTCAGTACTGTCGTTAACCGTCAGTTCGGATGGGGGGGGCTATTCGGACATTTCTGAAAACATATGTTCCACTGTCATTTTTCCTCAACAACTCAACCCATAGCAGTTCTATATATTCTTACTACTTACTCCAACTTTCCTAGCGCAAAATCCTGAATTATTGAGCGAGTTCCTTCCATGTGCGTGACTTTCGAGAAAGTATAAGGTACTGCAATCTCAGTTTCAAAAAGTTCAGGTGCGCCACACTCAAAATCATGTTCAAACACTGATAGTGCCGAGCGGAGCTCTAACTCGGCTTGTGTGACCTCTGTGACGTCCGAATAGCCCCCCCCATCCGAGCTGACGGTTAACGACAGTAGATACCAAATAGTAAAGAAAAATGAGAAAAACCAGCCACAGTCATGTCGCGCGGAAATTGAGATTAGTAAGCTGCCACTTTGGGTAGTCGAGTAAGTTCGAGCAAAGATAGCATGCTCTAGGTTCAATAACAACTTAATAGAAGCACAGAAACACCCCAGGCTCACATATAAGGACAGGACCTTGAGAATAGGGCCTAAAGTTTCGTCTCAGCCATGCCTAGAGTCTCTGAACGAGCTCAGCTTCTTTCTGCTTTGCAGAATGCCAAGCAACATGCTTTGAATATCTTTATTCAGCGTAAAATTGCTGAATTGATTTCTGAAGTAGAATTGCACCCTGAGGGGGGGGGGGGGCATTGCCTGGTGATGATTCTAATTCCTCCCACTCTTCTTCCTCTTCTTCATCTTCTGGCATGGACAATATCATCTTAGCTCATACCGCCAATCTGTTTGCCATTGAAGATGACATCCTTTCTACTCGTGTTCTCGCCTGAAAATGACCATCCTATCTTTCGCCGTCTGATGTGTACCTCTCCCTCTACTTTTTTTGAGATTGTGAAGAGGCTGAAAGATGACCCAAGCTTTCATAATAATTCTAATAACCCACAGGCTCCTGCTAAGCAGCAGATTGCATGTGCCATGTTCCGTTTTGGACACTATGGCAATGCAGCCTCTATTGAGGACACTGCTACATTAGCAGGAGTTTCTACTGGGTCTATTGTGAACTATACAGAGCAAGTCATGATAGCCATTCTCAATAGGCATGATCTGTATATCAAGTTTCCCCAGGATGGAGATGCTGATAAGAAGAAAGCAAAAGAGTGGGTGAGGAGCAGGACAACTAGGGCATGGGAAGGAGGATGGTTATGTGCTGATGGTTCAGGCTTTAACCTTTACCAGAAGCCTGGCCTCCATGGGGAAGGGTATTTTGACAGGAAATCAAGGTACTCTATTAGTTGTCAGGTGAGTAGCTTTTTTACTTTTTTATCTCTTAGTTAATGCCTTACACAGATTGTGGTTTCTCCCCACAACCTCTATATTTATGACTACAGTACTGGTCATGCTGGTTCCACTCATAATGCAAGTGCTTTTCGTGATACTTGCATCTATAATGAACACCAAACACTTCTTGGTCCCAATGAGTGGATTTGGGCTAATTCTGCTTATCCCAGTGAGAAGTGGTGTGTTGTGCCATTCAAAAAACCACCTGGTGGGCAGATCACCCATAATCAGAAAGTCTTTAACTATCATCTATCCAAGGTATGTAGATCAATTCTTATATGCTCTTTTATTGACTAATATTGGACCTAGATACGTGTCTGTACAGAGCATGCTTTTGGAGCTTTGAAAGGACATTTTCAATCTATCAAAGATTTGAGGATCAATATTAATGATTCCAATGGACATAGGTTTGCAATGGCATGGATCAAATGCTGTTTGATCTTGCACAATATGATTATTGATATTGAAGAGAAGAGGGGAGAAAATACAGCGGATTGGGCTCTTGAGGAGGGATTGGAGGAAATCAGTGATGAGGAAGAAGACTTAGAGATGACAGAGGATGAGGGGATACCTGCCTTTGATAATTCTTTGTCTAATGGCCAGAATTTTTGTAACAGTCTTATAGGTCCAATTTTAAGAGCTCTGGCCAGAGCTTCAGCTTAAATACATGTCTTGTTTCTTGTGTCTATTATGTACCTTGTGTATTGAATGTTATATGTTATGTCTTACATCTTACAGAAAGAACTAGAGTGACAAAGTCTTACAACAAGAACTCACAGTGAAACACACAAAAGCAGCATGACATTGCAAACATATAAGACATACAATCATATAGTCCATACTATCATGTAACGACAAAGCAACATACAACATATAACAAAGAAAACAAAGGGGGGGGACCATACTCAAGCATTATCCATGGGGGAGAGTGATGACTACAACAATGAGAGAAAAAAAGTATACGACGAGTATGTAGCTATAGATACTACACTTACACAGCCTCATCCCCAAACGCCGGGGGTTGTGATGAGGCACGCTGTCATGCACCAAAGTCGATTGGTAGCATGGACAGGTGTCAATAACAAAGCAAATATTCAAAAAGACTCCCCTTTGCGCCACACAGGCGCAGTGCCACATGGAATAGTAATTAATATTGCCTTTTTCAAACTTGTGGCTGATCAGCACCACCTCTATTAGGCAATCCAGTCACGCTCACCTTTGCTTTTCCATCTGGTACTTTCCGCGTTTTGGCATTTCGGCAAATTTTTGCGTCGCCACTGGCTACACATTGCATTGCGCCCTCGCTTTTGTCATTTCCCTTACTCCCCTTCCTTTGCCTAGCCCCACCATGGGCCCCTTCCTCTCCTTTTTATTCTCACATGACGGTCGTTTCTGGATCCCCATTCTAATCCACTTTTTTGTCACCTCCACCCTCCTCCTCCTCATCTTATTTGCACCCCCACCATTTCTGATGTCACCACTTCCTATCCGCTTCCGTTGCCGATCCATTGACTACCACGTGCCATCGCTGATATCAGCAAAGCCCCAGCAGCCGGTCCAAATAGGGCAACAGGTCCATCTTCATGACGTCGATCTGCCATCATATACTATCAAAACATCGGTCGCTCGTCTTGCCTGGTTGGAGCGTGGGTGGGTAATTTTTGAGCTGGAGAAGGTTCATCCCCTTGCGTTGCCCATGTTCATCGCTGTCCCATTCACTTGGGTACACTTATCTTTTGTCCATCGTCTTCGCTACAGCTACACCTACCACACGCTGCCTGGGACTCACTTGTTCCAAATTGGAACTACTCCTCTCCCTCCCTCGTTTGATCAGGTGGTCCAACACAACCAGTCTATTGGTAAGGCCATGGAACTGTTGGATTTGGACTAGGTGGTGGACCGGTGGCTCCAGTTTCTTTTTCTTCAGCAGAACATTCATTTACAGTGCGATTATTTTTGATTTTTGAATCATTTTTATGGACACATATTTTTTAGAATGCCTGACTGACAATAAAGGAACTGTGTTGATACTGATAGTGTTTTGCCTTGCCCTTTTTTTACTGCATCTTCCCATGACATCATGATTTTCCTGCTCTCTTTTTGCTATTGGACTTTACTTTATGGCTGTACAAACCTGTGACATTACTCACAGCATTTATTGTTCTATCCCTTTCTTTTCCTTTTTTTGACAATCTTATCCTGTACTACCTACGCAGGATTTGTCAGCGTACATTCCTTCCTTCATATTCTTTCTCATTCTTTTTGCACAGCTATACTGTGCATAGCCTACTTTTCTTTTACTATATAAACCCCTGTATTTTACCTTGTAAAAAAAAAAACAACAACAAGAAATCCAATCCAGACTTCTTCTCTACTCTCAAGTTCACTACTCTACTAATTGTGATCCAGTGTGGTCACAACACTTCCCACTTCTACCACTGTTAACTGCTGTCATCGTCACTCGTCACTTTTTGAAAGTGATTGTCATCCCCTTCGATTAGAGTCCTTCTGAGCACTACAGTTTGTGCGTCAGGAGCCTGCTATCACTGGGAACCTCGTCATCTTGTCGTTCTCAAACCTACCTTGTGCTACAATTAGCAAGGTAGTGCTCATCTATACTCGCCACCAAGCCCCTATCCTTCTATAAATTCAACTATCCCTCCTCCTCAAAACCCACACTCATACACCTCTGGGTTTTACTTTGAAGGATCTTTATACGTACCACCCCACGAACAACCAGACCACTCCACTGTTCTAGGAGGCAAAGCCCATAAACAAGTTCCGTGGAATCTGGGAGGATTGTGTGTTAGTTTGTTTTGTGTGTGGTTTTCTAACAGCAGTTCTCATCATCGACAGCGGTTAGGAATATCCCGTATAGCAGATAGGTGTGCTCCTAGCAACGGCTTTGTAGTGCTTTGGGAGAAGAACCCAAAACCTTTGATACGCGGCCCCCAGCGTTAAGGGGAGTACCATAGCTCAGCAGTCGATGTGGAACCGCTGTTGATTAGAATTTACATACAAATCTTCACCTTCGAATACCTCTGACCAGGCCGGGCACTTGCCTCCGCCAGTCTGGAGAAGGGTTGACAGCTTAACAAGCGGACCACCCCCTGACAACCGTTCGGACCAGGGTTTATTACAAATACATTTTATATACCTTTTCAAATACTATAGTGTGGGTAGTCGGAGATTGAGATCCGATACTCAGCTGGGAAGAGGTTGATCCGCAGATAGCAAGCGGGGACCCCCAGTTACCTTTTTTTTACATTACCAAAGAGAACAAGTCGA